TGTCTAACTCAAAGATCGGCACGCCCTGGCGGAGTAGGCTGTGCCAGTCAGGGAGGTCCGGGGCCGGGCCAAAGCGACGACGAAAAAGATCGTCGAGGCGGCGGAAACAGCGGGCGGTCGGGTGCGGGCGGCGGCACAGAGTGCCGCGGAGAGGCCCGGTCTGAAGCTGGTACTGGCAGGTCACAGCACTGGAGCCGCTGGTAGACGCCAAGCTGCGCGGGCCGCCACCACGGCCACCGCCTCCGGAGGTGCCGGGCCAACCAGGCGGGAGACGAGCCCACGGCTGCGGCGGGTGCTGCTGGGACGGCGGCTGCGGCTGGGGCTGGTCCTGCTGCTGCTGGGGCTGCTGCTCCTGCCCACCGGTGGTAGTCCCCTCAGGCGGACTACCGTCACCACCACCACGACCACTACCACCTGCGTCACCACCCCTACCTCCCTGGCGGCCACGGCCACCGCGACGCGAGCGCTGCTGCGGGTGGACAGCAGCAGCCGTCTCGGTAAGAGGGGTCGCCGTGGCGACCGCAGCCGAAACGTCAGTGAACGTGCACTGGGATGGGGCACAGCCGTGAAAGATAGAGACTGCCGGCGCACCGCTCGACTGAGCGATAGTGCGCTGGCGAGTCTCGATCTCAGTGAGGGTGTCGACAAAGGCGATCAGGTTGAGGTCACCCGGGTGCTGGCTAAGAAAGTGGTCGCGAGCACTAGCGAGGTGGTCTGGCAGGCGCATAGCGATAAAATAGAGCGTCATGCAGAAAGGAGGGGGGAGCGCAGTGAGCTGGGCAGCAGTGCTGGCAGTGCGATAGCGAGTCTCTAGGGCACGCAAATGAGTGGCAAAGTCTGCGACAGTAGGGAAGGCAGCCAGGTCTGGGAACAGCATCGGAAAGAGCAAGCGGCCAGCAGAAGCGGAGGCAGGGGTGGAATAGCGAGCAATAACGGCGTCTAAATAAGCTTTGGCCGTTTCAACAGTAGCAAAACGCGAGCGCTCAGACACAGGGAGGGCGTGACTAATAGCAACCTGAGCTACTGCATCGCGTGAGTCCCAGACCGCACAGGCCAGCGCAGCAGTAGAGAAAGCCTCACGGTCATCAGAGGAGGGGTCAGCAGGGAGGGGAGTAGGTGCAGGGGGACGGGGGAGCAAGCCATCAGCATGGACAACCAGAGAGTGGCCAATCTGGCGCTGACCTGTAAGCTGGCGGCGGAGATCGGAGAGCCAGGCGGCGAAGTCAACCGCGTGGCCCTCAGCGTCCAGGCGGAGCACAAAGTCAGCCATCGTGCAGGGTCAGCGGCACAGCTCCTCAGCGACACAGCGGCACAGCAGCACAGCTCCTCAGCGGCACAGGAGCACAGCGGCGCGGGGACACGGCGGCAGCACTCTCCAGTAGGGCAGCAGCTAGGCGTCCCAGCGCAGGCGAGCAGAAGACACAGGGCCCGAGAGGACACGGCAGGCCGAGCAGGGGAGGCGGGCAGGTGCTCTGGGGCCGGGCTGGTGCTGGGAGGGGCCAGGCTGGTGCTGCTGGGGCCGGTCGGGCACGAGGAGGGGCCGGGCAGCGCTGAGGAGAGGCCGGGCGGCGCTAGGAAGGGGCCGGGCGGCACTAGGAGGAGGCCGAGCGGCACTAGGAGGCCAGGCAGGCGAGCGCTAACAGCAGGCGCGACAGGGGCCAGCGGGCGCGACGAGGCCTAAGGGGCGCGACGGGGCCCAGCGGGCACGACGGGGCCCAGGGGGGGCGCGACGGGGCCGAGGAGGCGCGACGGGGACCAGCGGGCACGACGGGGCCCAGGGGGGCCGCGACGGGGCCTAACGGGCGCGACGGGGCCCAGGGGGGGCGCGACGGGGCCTAGCAGGCGCGACGGGGCCTAGGAAGCGCGAAGGGGCCCAGCGTGTGCGACGGGGCCTAGGAGGCGCGACAGGGCCCAGCGGACGCGACGGTGCCCAGAGGGGGCGCGACGGGGCCTAGGAGGCGCGACGGGACCCAGCGGGCACGACAGGGCCTAGGAGGGGCGCGACGGGGCCGATCGGGCGCGACGGGGCCCAGAGAGGGGGGGACGCGACGGGGCTTAGGAGGCGCGACGATGCCTAGGAGGCACGACGGGGCTCAGCGGGCTCGACGGGGCCCATGGGGGGCGCGACGGGGCCTAGGAGGCGCAACGGGGCCCAGCGGGGGCGCGTTAGGGCCTAGGGGTCGCGACGGGGCCCAGCGGGCGCGACGGGGCCCAGGGGGAGCGCGACGGGGCCTAGGAGGCGCGACGGGGCCCAGCGGGCACGACGGGGCCAAGGGGGGGCGCGACGGGGCCTAACGAGCGCGACGGGGCCCAGGGGGGGCGCGACGGGGCCTAGGGGGCGCGACGGGGCCTAGGAGGCGCGACGGGCGGAAGCGGTAGGCGGGGGGATCCTAACCTAAGCGTGATACCATGTTAACGTAGAAACGAATGATTACTAGAGGTGGAAACCTAGAACAAATACTAGTTGGTTGTACTCACTAGAAGCATACCTCAGTCTAGCCTATAACTTCTACATAGATAATATGTATAAGTTGACAAAAATCGCACTGCCACGGAAATCGAAACTGAGGGGAGGGGGAATCGAAACCGACGGGGAAATGGGGAGGGAATCAAAATGGGGGGGAGGGGGGAAGCAAAACGGAGGGGAGAGGGGGGGAACGTGGGGGGGGGGGGGGTCGAAACAAAGAGGATGGGGGAAGCGAACGGAGGGGAAGGGGGAAGTGATCGAAACGGAGGGGAGGGGGGAATCGAAAATGGAGGGGAAGGGGGGAATCGAAATGGCAGGAAGGGGGGAAGTTGGAGCATAAGGCGGTGGGAGAAATTTCGCGCCCTTGCAGCGCCCCGGTTGGGAAATCCTGGACGTTAATCACTACCTACCATCGAACGATTGATATTTGTCGAAATGATCGCAAACGATCGTAACCGTTACATTTTGTTAGACTTTCAGTTGACCAAATGGGCAACTGGCGAGAATTTCCCTATGTTTAAAATGCGGGATTTACTCTCATTCCAATGCAGTTAAAAAAATATATGTGAAAGTCTCATTCAAAACTTTGACGTGTGTTCCAGGTGTTTTTTTATTGCCCGTGTGGTCAACTGAAAGTCCATCAAACTTTGACGGCCACGATCAATCGCGATCGTTTCGACAAATTTCAGCCGTTAGATGATCGCGTATGATTAACGTCCTCGATTTGCCCAAGGCGCTGCAAGCGCGGGAGGTTTCTCCCCCATTCGCCTCGATCCCCACCTCTCCCTCCGTTTTGCTTCCCCTCTCCCCTCTGTTTCGATTCCCCCTTCCCCTCCGTTTCGCTTCTCCCATTCCTCTCTACCTGTATTTCGAAACAACCCCCCCCCCCCCCCCACTTTTTCCCTCCCTGTTTCGCTTCCTCTCTTCCCCTATGTTTCCATCCTCCCCCTTCCCCTCCGTTTCGCTCTTCCCCTCCCCTTGGCTTGATTCCCTCCCATTTTTCCCCCCATTTTTTATTCCTGCCTCGTGTTGAAAGCAATCCTGAACGCGTTCGTTGCTCAGCAATGCAACCCTGTTTGTGGCTAGCCAACCCTGAAGGTTTCAGGGTTGTAAGTTCCAGAACACTGAGAAATCAAGGAAGCTAAAATTCCAACACAAGGCCCTCAGGGTATTTTTTTTTTCCATTCGACAGCTCAGGGTGCTTTTTTTTTAAACGACAGCCCTGCTGCTGCATTGTTGTCATGCCTGCACTAGGGCATCTCACAAGCAGTTTAGATGTCATACCTGTAATCCCCCGTATATAACACCCTATGGTGTATATAAAAATTCACTAAAAAAATGACTGGGTGTTAACAATGGCCCGGAAAAATATAGAGCCCATGTGTTATGTAAAATGCAATTTGAATTTGCGTGTTTCAGGCCATGTGTGTTCAAAAATGCGCGGAGCGACTGTTAGTGAGGTCCTTCTCCGCTAAAACGAAACTCACGAACCAATCGTCGTTGGCCAATCCCTGCTGAGTTATGCAGCACCTGCGACCGTCATGATCGCCACAGAATCCGCGACTTCGACGTGAGGATTTCGCTCGGGAGGATTCTGACCGTCAAATCACAACAGAATCCGCGACTGCGACGGTCTAAATTCTCCCGAGTCTCGACCTTTGCTGACGTTTCGATTTCGCGCTGCAAATTGTGTTGATGTTTCTGCCCGTTTTTTCGCTGCTAATGGTAGTTGACATTGCGTTTTTCATCCTGTTCGTTTTTTTTTCTCAATCGAGCTGAACTTGAAAAGGTAGGAAATACTGTTCTTTGCTGCATAAAACGAGGAGGGTGTTATGTAAAATGCAACCCCCGAAAAGCGGGTGCTCTTCTAAATTCACCCTATCATAAGCTCTCCCTCGCATAAACCACCCGCGGAGTGACTATTTCGGCGGGTGTTATATACGGGGGATTACGGTAATAAGTATTTATTCTTACTGCTCGAATAGTGTTGATTTGCCATTGTTCCTAGTAGTGCGGGAAGTTGGTGAGGTGGGTGAGCACAAAAACGGAAAGAAGATTCTCCTTTATCAGCATAACATGAAGGGTAGAAAACGTGTACAGTGCAACACATTGATTGATCTCCAGCGTTCCTTCCCATCTCTCTTGAACGGAAATGGTTCTCTCGGCCCTTGACCCTTCCCGTCAGCAGCCACGAGGATCTTCTCTTGACGGGAATCAGAAGCTTGTTGCACCATGCACACTGCTCTGGAGAGATTCTTGTTTTTTTTCGGAGCTTCACCTTTTAGGTGTTCCCAAATTTCCACACCCAAATCGTTTCCTGTTTAGAGAAACGCCAAGATCCAAATCAAAAGTTTAGCTTCCGTTGTTACTGGATTTGACTCATTAGCCACTGGTACCAAGGACTTTGTCCTGACACTTAGAAGTCAGCTTTGTTTTCCATTTACCGTGCGCTTCTTTCCCGAGGGAGTGCCCAGGAAGAAAAATATATTAGCAAGCCAATGTTCTGTTGTTCACACAAAGCACTCCGTACCTCGTTCACCCAGCCCACTTCTGGAGCCATTGTTTCCTAATTCCACCAGAAACTAGCTTTTGTTCTATAGCCATGGCGGTTGTCCACAGCTTATGCTCCTCACCACGACAAATACGTAGTTGCTGTATGCCGTGTTTCTAAGAACGCTATCATATTCCCCTTCCTTAACGTTCTACGCACCTTAGTTGAAATTAGGGCAATGAAGTTTCTCGAGTATACGCCTCTCGCGAGGTGAGCTAAAATAGCAGCAAATTTCTGTTTAGGCTTCGAAGCCTCATATCATATGGCTTTATAAACCGTCTATTTCGTATTTCACACGCGTCTTTTCTGCTCTCCGGACGGCTTATCTCATTGCTTCAGTTTTCTGAGCCATGGGGATGCTAGCTGCTGTCTCTATTGGCATTGCAGTGCTAGCGTTGTGTCCCCGTGTCAAGCCTCTCTCATTCCGATACCTGCTTTCCAGCGTATTCTCAACATTTTGCCTTGTCGACCACGCATTTCTCGTCTGTTGCTGTTGCCGCTTCCACTTTTCTTTCCTCGCTCCCCTCCCCCCACTCCCCCCCCCCCCCCTCCCCCCCGATTTCCCTCTGTCTACCACCTTCTGTCTTCTCTCGCGTTCCTCCGCGGCTCACATGGCTGACTCTCACTCGTTTCCTCTTGATCCACCAGGCTCAACTCCTTTCTCTCACACCTCAACCTTCGCGATCACCAACTGCAGGGACTTCTAGAAGCTTACTCGTGTACGTAACCCTGGCTCCCTGTTTCATGTGAAGTGAACTACTCTGCTATTCCATCCCGCTTTTCGTTAGCCATTCCATCCCGTCGCTTCGCCCTTACCCCCCACAATCCGCTCTGCTGTTTTTTTTATGTCCTCTCTCCTCGCAAGTCCTCTCTAAGTATTTATTTTCTTACTTATTGTTGTATCTCCTTTTTTCCCGTCAAGTCGCATTCCCCGTCATGATGCATTGTTTGTCCATAGTTGCGTGGTTGCGTGGCACGATTCCCCTTACTCTTTTAACAGTACCGTCTCAAACGCGTGGATTGAGTTTGTCGTCGATGGCGAATCGTGCTCTTTCTTTTTCCAAACCGTGCTGGCCGATGGCTGTTTCCTCGGTTGACGTGCCCTTCAACGCATTTCAAGCATTGTGTATTGTGCGTGGTGCTTCGTGCGTGGTGCATGCATGGCGCGTCATACGTCATGGTGTGGCATGTCATGGCGTGAGCAGGTAAAGCGGCAGGGATCGACAAGAAGCTGTCAAGAAGCGTGGAGCAAGAGGTGCGTCGGGTCTGGAGGCACGCACATGAGGGGGGTGGGGGGGAGTCAGGCGGGGACGAGGAAGGTTGAGGAGGGGGGGAGAGGTTGGGGGATGGGGAGCAGTGGTAGGGTAGGGATGGTCGGGGGGGGTTTGCAAACTGGATGGAAAGGGCGTTGGAGACTGTGAAAGGTTGGTCATCTCACCTGCCTAATCGTCTCACTGCGTTGCATCGAACGTGGCCTCTCGTCTCGCAGTGCTTCCCTGCATCTTATTTTCCACGCATGCTTTCTTGGTTTTGCACGAGAGCAGGTGGTGGATGCTCTTGCTGCGTCGCCCATGGAGCTAGCAGCCTCACCGGTTGGCCCGCTCTCCACCTCTCAAAGGTGCCCATGCCATGCCACAATGCGCGCCACACTCCCCTGCCTCGTTCGTGCTCACTCACTCAGCTGGCTCCACGCATCCCTGTTTGCGGGCTAAAGGGTTTCTGCTTTCTGTGCCTCGGTGCTCGTCCATGTACCGGTTCCTGTTGTGCATTTCCTTGCTGCCTCCCCCCCCCCCCAACTACCTTTCCCCTCTTGCCCGGTCCTTTCCCATCTCCTCGTCCAGCTTCCACCTTCCTACTGACTTCCCCCTCTCCTCCCGCCCCCCGCTCTCTCTCGCGCTCCACCTGTGTGATTTCGCCCATGGTGCGGCAGTCGCAAGACCCTTGTGTACCTCATCCTCACACTCAACCACGTGTATCCCGACTACGACTTCAGGTGACGCACGCTCTCAGTGTGGTCCGTATATTGATGAAACCCCTAGGTACAAGGTGACGCACACTCTCTCTTGCTTTCTCTCCATCCGTTCGTCTGGCTCCTTCACACGCCCCTCTGTATCGTCCGATTCGTTCCTTCGTCCCAATGCTATCCTTGTTCCCTGTCCTCCACTCCCTTCTCCTCAACCCAGCCTTGTTATATTCCCCCCTTCCTCCCCCTTCCCCCTCTCTTGCTCCCGCGCTCTCTCTCTCCCTCTACCCTCCCCCTGGCCCATCTCGTCTGGGAATCTCTTTTGGCCCGTGTCTCTGCCACATCTCTATTGCTCACGCCCACACGCCCACAGCACGCTGCGGTCGCACCACTTCAGCAAGGAGAGCGGGCCCGGAGCAGTGAAGGACCCCATAGACCAGCTGCTGCGCGAAGCAGCCAAGGTGGGTGGGTACGGGCACGGGGGTAGCAGGGACAAGAGTGCCAAGGGAGGTTTTTGGATCCGATGGACGCACCCACCAATTCTGCAAGGAGAATGGCGCGGGAGCAATGAAGGACCCCACAGACCAGCTGCTGCGCGAAGCAGCCGAGGGCGGGTGCCCCTGCTTCCTGCCCGTTTGCGCCCCCCCTACTCGGCTGTGTCCCCCCTGCCCTGTTGTGCCCCCCTGGCCGGTTTTGTCCCCCCCCCTGGGCCGGTTCCCCCCCCCTGCCCGGTTCTGTCCCCCCTGCTCGGTTGTGTCTTCTAACGGTTCTGCAAGGGGTGCGGGGTGGAAGAGGGCAGGCAGAGCACCTAACGTGTGGTTGCTGTTGATGTTCATGTTCATCATAGGTTGGAGCCTAGGGGATGGTACGCATGTCGGCAGCTGGGGAAGGGGGCGGACTGATGCTTGCTGGGTGCAGTCCTGGTGGCTTCAAGGCTTTGAGAAGGAAGAGAGAAGGAAGGGGGGGGGGGGGGGGGAGGGGGGAAGGGAAATGGATTGGGGGGGGGAGGGATCAAGGGGAGGGAACCTGGGCTTAGGGAGAGAGTGGTGGTTATGTGAGTGTGGAGCGGGGAGGGTAGAGGAGAACGGGGGAAGGGTTGATTTTGCAGGATGGGTGATGTGACGTTATGTGATGTGATGTGAGAGCCGGTAGCTCAGTGGCAAGAGATCCGGTGCATTCACTGGAGGGTCCCGGGTTCAATCCCCGGCCGGTTCATTTCCATCCTTGCATCCTCATATCCTCCTCACATGCCTGCCTCCTCCTCCTCCTCCTCCTCCTCCATTCATGGCCATTCTTGCATCGGGTTCTGACGGAAAGGGGTTGGGTTGGCAAGGGGGGAGGGGGCCGGGGGCGTCACTTTTTTGTTTCGGCAAGCATACAGACTTGGGGGGCGTGGAGGTAAGGATGTGTCATGAGGCTGAGGGCCTGGTGTGATTGCTTCCCCTGGCTGGTTTAGACCTGAGAGTCTAAGGGACCTGTTTTCTCCCTGACATGGAACGATGGATGAGGTAACATCAAACGGTATCACTGGTAGTCTTAATGTCATATATTCCCCTTAAGGGTTACAGCACTGCAGGGTTGCAGATGATTGCGCCTGCCTGCCTGCATGCATGTTGCCCGGCGGCGGCCGTTGATTCCCTGTTGTTAGTGCTGTTTTGCTTTTGTTGCCTAAGATTTTTCTCATCTTGTTCCCTCTGTCACCCTTCTTGCCCCCTTTTCTGTCACATCACCATGCCGCTCATTCTCCTCTCCTCAGACCATGCTGCTGATTCTCATCTCATCAGTTGTGCCTAGTAATCTCGCGCATCCATCCATGTGACCCCCCCCCCCCCCTCTTCCCTCTCAGCCATCTAGCCCCCCTCCTTCCCTCGTCCCCGCTTCTTTGGACCCTCTCACCCTTCCCACCCTTCCCACCCTTACCTCCCTTCCCACCCTTCCCACCCTTACCTCCCTTCCCTCAACTCCTCACGCCACAACACACCATCACACCCATCCTTACCACCACCCCCCCCCCCCCCCCCCCCCCCCCCCGTCTTGATGGCACGGCTGCCATGCCGCATGGCATGGCATGGCACGGTGTGTTGGTCCTCAGCTGTGGGAGGATGAGATGGGCAGTGACGTGGCCTTTGCAGACGCGCTCTGGTCGTCGATAGATGATGTGAGCCCTGCTGCACTGTGCCGTACCGTGCATTGCCTTGTAGACATTGGGTCGACATGTGACCCCCACTGCACTGTGCCGTACACTGCCTTGGAGACAAGACAGCAAGTTGTCATGTGAGCCACGCGCTGCGTAGAGCACAGCCCTCTGGTGCACAGCCCTCTGGTCGTCAATAAATTGATGCGAGTGCCTTAGTGTGTTGGCCGTAAGATACACCTGTTTGCAGCGGTTCTGTAGGCTGGGGAAGCATGGTCTGTTTGTGCCGCCCCTCCTAATGTTGCTCTGCTGCTGCGTCTGCTAACATTGCTGTGTTTCCATACTTTGCCATGTGGCCTGCATGTGCGTGTGCATGTGCATGTGCGTGTGCATGTGCGTGTGCATGTGCGTGTGAATGTGCATGTGCATGTGCATGTGCATGTGCATGTGTGTGTGCGTGTGCATGTGCATGTGCATGTGCTTGTGCTTCTGCTTCTGCTTGTGCGTGTGCATGTGCGTGTGCGCGTGTGCGTGTGCGTGCGCGTGCGCGTGTGCGTGCGCGTGTGCCTGTGCATGTGCGTGTGCATTGGCCCGTGGGTCTGCGTGTGTATGTGCATGTGCATGTGCGTGTGTGTGTGCATGTGCATCAACCACTCTAGGTGATACAGCTGAGCGAGTGCGATGTGTACAGTTACCAGCCAGACGTTGACACTGACATTTTCACTGACAGCAACAGCATGTGAGTTGCACTCATGCGCTCCCTTACACAAGCCTCTGTATGCCACATGATATGCAGTTGCCCCTTCTCTCCCTCTCCCTCTCTATCTCTCTTCCTCTCTCCATGGCATCCAATATTATTTCCCCTCTCAATGGCTTCCAACTTTGCTTCCTCTCTCAGTGGCATCCAATTTTACTCATTTTCAGTTGTATATACTCACTTCGTTCTGCTGGTTGTCGATTCACTCGTTGTCGTCGTGCAGATGGTCCTTCAACTATTTCTTCTACAATCGCAAGCTCAAGCGCGTGCTCTACTTCACATGCCGCTGCCGAAGGTGCGCCACTTGCCCCCATGTATGCTTGTCCATAGCCCTCACTGCTTCGCTCCTTCCTGTGTCGTTTATTCCCCCGCCCTTTCACCCTTTCTCTTTCACACCCTCCCGCCCTTCCTCAGCAGCGCAATCAGGTCTACTCTACTCCCTTTGTGTACCAATGCATGTTGCCCATTTGTGCGCTGTTTCCTCCCATGCTGCTCGCCCGCGTTGCTCTCTCCACTGTGCCGTGAGCAGCAAGGTGGGAGCGGAGGACTCGTCATCTGAGGAAGGGGACAGCGATGGGGGCTATGGCGACATGGCAGCAGACATGGACCTCTAGCTTGTTGAGACATGGACATGGCAACTCGAGTACTCTATAAAATGTCTCTCAGCCGACCCTGACCTCTAGCTTCTTCCCACGTGCCTTGCCACTTGCCGCATCACTTGCCGCACCGCGCGCTGCTGTGTCATGGGCCGCGTCATTTGCTGTGACGCTTGCACTGTGAGGAGGATTACATGTGCTGCTGTGCTGTGCTGGGCTGGGCTGTGCTGTGCTGTGCTCTGCTGTGCTGTGCTGTGCTGCTCTGTGTGGAGTTGGCAGCTTGGCATTCCTGTGGCAAGCAGCATACCATAGATCAGCTCATACCGGTCCGGTACACTGCCATGTCATCACTGCCATCACTGCCATGCCATCACTGCCACCTTGTGGGACAATCCTGAACAATGGATGTTTGAGACGCCTCGAAACTGTGCTAGGGTGCTGCTGCCCTTCTAATTCCAGGCCTTGCAATGTGACTGAATGTGATGTGATGCAGTGTAGCCCTTGATAGTGTTAGACATATGTGTGTGTTAAGTATGCTACATAGGGTCATGCCATAAGGAGTACAACCCACTAGCTATATACCCCTGTATACTCTCGTTCTACTGCACAATTCTAACTCTTTGACAGTATCATGAGTAGGTTAGGTCCCCCCCGCCCACCCACGCTTCCGCCTTAGGTCCTAGTCTGCCCCGTCGCCTAGCGCCTAGCCGCCCAACTGGCCCTGCTGCCCCGTTGCCTAGCCCGCCCGTCGGCCCCGTCTCCTAGTGCCTGCTGACCCCGCGGCCCCATTCCCTAGCGCCTAGCCGCCCCGTGGCCCCATTGCCCCGCCACCTAGCGCCCTGCCGCCTCGCTGGCCCCACGGCCCCATCACCTAGCACCTAGCCGACCGTGGCCCCGTTGCCCCGCCACCTAGCGCCTAGCCGCACCGCTGGCCCTGCGGCCCCGTCACCTGCGCCTAGCCGTCCTGCTGGCCCCACGGCCGCGTCGCCCCTAGCGTAGCCGCCCCATCGCCTAGCTGCCCCGTGGCCTAGCCATCCCGTCGCCTAGCCACCCCGTCGCCTAGCCGCCCCGTGGCCCCGTCGCCCAGCCGCCCCGCGGCCTCGTCGCCCTGCTACCCCGCGGCCCCGTTGCCCAGCCGCATCCCGGCCCCGTCGCCCAGCCGCATCGCGGCCCCGTCGCCCACCCGCCCCGCGGCCTCGCCGCCCCACTGCTTCGCGGCCCTGTCGCCCGGCCGCCCCGCGACCCGTCGCCACGCTGCTCAACGGCCCCATCGCCCAGTCGCCCCGCGGCCCCATCGCCCAGCCGCCCCGCTGCCCCGTCTCCTAGCTGCTCAGCCGCGTTTCCCCGTCCCCGCCCGCTTAACCGGCCCTCTCCACCGTCCTGCACTACGCCCCACCGTGCTGCACCGCTTAGCACCGCACTGCACCGCGCCCCATTGCATTGCACCGCGCCCCACCTCACTACACCGCACCCTCAGCGGTCGCAGGTTTCGCCGACCCTCCTCTGGACCGGGTCTCCTGGTGACGCGTCTGCGTTCCACGTCTGGGGCTGCCTTGCTCGCGTTCGTCCCTCTGGCACGGACAAGCTCACTGCCCGCACCGTCCCCTGTGTCTTCCTAGGTTTCCCCCTCGACTCGTCTGACTGGCACTTCTGGGGGTGCTGGGGAGCGTGCCGGGCGGGTACTGGAACGGGTTCCCGTTCTGGGGGTGCTGACGTGGGGCTACTCGAAGGGAGCCGTGGTCCTACTGGAGGTTCTGGTGTTGGCGTCGGGCAGCAGCCGTCTCCGTCGCCGCCGGTGTTCGCTCTTCGCCTCCTCGGCCTTCATCCTCCTGACCACCCACCGGTGCCTCCTCGGTCGCCACCGCCTCCTCCTCTGCCGGTCTATGGCCATGTCTTTCCTCCAGTGGACTCATCTCCAGCTCGTTTTCCTCCTCGTTCTCCTCCTGTGTCTCCTCCCCTCTCTCCTAACCCGACTCCTTCGTCTCACGTCTGGGCTCGTCGTCCGTCCCGTGCTCGTCCTACCTCCCCTGTTTCGCTTTCTCCCCCTATGTTGCTTCGCTCTCACGTGTCTCGTGCTCCTACGCTCCTCCCGTCTCCTCCTCCATCGTCGCTCGCTGTGGCCCCGCCTCCGTTTTCTGACTTCCTCTGTGCCGCGCGTCCCCTTGTTCCTCATGTCCTTGTCTCTCTTGTTACCAATCCGTCCGTTCCTCTCTCGAGTCAGTCGGCTCTTGTTGCTGCTATCACTGACTTCGCCGCTACCCACCGCCTTGACTACGCCACCGCTCTGGTCTCCGACAATGCCTGCCCTCTGTCCGTCAGGGGTGTGGCTGCCCTTGGCAGTGACGTCCTAGAGGACAGACAATACGAGTTTGCTTTCCTGTCAGAAGCCGCTCCCCATCTCTGTTCCATGTTGCTAGTCCCTGAGGGTGACCCTGACGCCCTTGACATCCCGACCCCTTGCACCTACGCTGAGGCGACCTAGGGACCCTGGGCCTCTCAGTGGATAGCTGCCATGGAGCAGGAGATGGCATCTTCAAGATCCACCAGTACCTTCTTCGACGCAGTTCCCCCACCTGGGGTGAACGTAGTCGATGGCCGATGGCTCTTGAAGGTGAAGCGCCCTCCTGGAGAGCCGCCTGTGTTCAAGGCGAGCTACGTTGCTCATGGCTTAAGTCAGCGTGAGGGGGTTGACTTCTTCCAGACCTTCGCCCCGACCCCGAAGACGAGTACTCTTCAGGCAGTACTACACGTAGCAGCACAGCGTGACTAAGAGCTGCACTCCCTCGACTTCTCCACAGCTTTCCTCGAGGGCAGTCTACACAAGCAGATCTACTTGCGCCGCCCCCAGGGCTTCTCCGGTACCTTTCCCCATGGTACCGAGTGGCTCCTCCGGTGCCCCGTCTACGGCCTGGGCCAGGCGCCCTGTGAGGGGCACGACATACTGCATGCTACACTTGCTGACCCGCAGTTCTTCGCGTCGTCTGCAGACCCCTCACTCTTCGCCCGTTCCGGCCAGACTCTGTTCTACATCCTTGTCTACGTAGACGACCTGGCATTCACTACTGCAGACAGAGACGCGCTGGCCTCCGTGAAGGCCGAGCTGCTAAGGAGACACACCTGCACTGACCTAGGAGAGCTGCACCACTGCCTTGGCTTGCAGATCTCCAGGGACACAGCAACGCGCACCAGCACTCTCACACAATCACACTTGGTGCGCCAAGTCCTTCAGAGGTTCGACCTTCAGTTCTCTTCTGCATAGCCCACCCCTCTGCCAGTAGACCACAGACTCTCTGCTCCAGTCCCGGAAGAGGCTGTAGAGCCTAGTGGTCCTTACGCAGAGCTGGTGGGTTGCCTCATGTACCTGATGACTTGCACTCGTCTATATCTTGCATACCCTCTCAGCATCCTGGCTCGTTTTGTGGCCTCCGGCAGACACCGACCACCTCACTGGTCTGCAGCTAAGAGGGTTCTGCGTTATCTAGCAAGTACATTGGGCATGGGGCTAGTGCTAGGAGGACGCAGACCAATGGTCCTTACTGTGCACACAGATGCTTCTTGGGCAGATGACGCCGAGAATCTCAGGTCCTCCCAGGGCTACTGCTTTCGCCTTGGTGCAGGTGCTCTCTCGTGGAGGTCCACTCGCTCCTCGTCTGTTGCCCAGTCTAGCTGTGAGGCTGAGATCTACGCCGGTGCCATGGAGGCACAAGAGCTCCGTTGGCTGACTTTCTTGCTCACAGACTTAGGTGAGCAGCCTAGCTCTGCCCCGGTCCTGTACGCTGACAACAGGGCCATGATCCTCCTATGTTAGGAGCCCAGACTGGAGGGCAGAGCGAAGCCCATCCAGCTGCGGTACTTCCTCCTGCGCGAGCTAGAGCAGCGTCGCCAGGCCCGCGTAGTACAATTGGCCTCCGGTGCCAACACAGCTGATATCTTTACGAAGGCGCTTGCGCCTAAAGATCATTAGCGGCACCGCGTACAGCTTGGTCTCGTTCCTGTAGCACCTCATTTGCTAGGACCTTGATTGTGTATAACTCTTTATACACTGGCGGAAAGAATTGTCCGCATGTTTTGCAATTTTCAGAATTTCGGCTGTTTAAGGGCATGTATACATTAAGCCTTAATTGGAGGCCTTACCCACTATATGCAGGCCAATCTAGGGACACAAAACAATGCTTCACATTTGATGAAACTACTATCGTTAACAATAAAAAGCAGACATAACCAATCGCGGTGCATCCGGACAATCAGTTCTAGGCGGAGGCAGCAACTTGATCAGCCCTTAAACTAGTACCTGGTCCACCGCCCTTTCGCCTTAATCACTGCCTTCACCCTCCTGGGCATGCTGTCGATCAAATTGGTGCACACCTCTGATGGGATCTTCCCCATTCCTCTTGTACACGCTCCCACAGGTCCACCATACCAGTGGGAGGTTTCTCATGCTTAGCCAGCTCCCTTTTAAGATGAGCCCAAAGATACTCAATGGGGTTCAGATCGGGACTTCATGCCGGCCACTCCAGGACCCCAAACTCCTGCTCCTGAAGCCACTACTGCACCACACGGGACTTATGCTTGGGGTCGTTATCATGCTGGAAGATCACATCCGAGGGGTTTAGCGTGTAAAAGTCTATGGTATTCTTCAGCTCGTCCAGCAAAATGCTCAGATACAGCGGCCCGTCCATCCTACCATCGATTTTGCTTATGAAACCCACCCCCTCATACGTCATACAGCCCCAGATCATCAAGCCGTCGCCCCCATGTTTGACGGTTTGCTTGATCTGGTGGTGTTGGGGGGCTGTACCTTCACGAACCCAGGCGTACGCGCGACCGTCAGAGCAGAACCTATTGATCCTCGTCTCATCCGACCAGTTCACCCATTTCCAATCCTCTATGGTCCAATCAGCGTGGGCCCGTGCGAACTCCAGCCTATCGCGGATATTTTTCTTCGAGAGTCGCGGCTTCTTAGGCTGCTAGACTGCGACAAGGCCGCTAGATTTGAGCGCATTACGCACCGTCCTAGGATGCACCGTAATGTCGTGCTGGGATTCGACGATCTGGGCCGCATGCTTCGGGGTTCTCGCCTCGCCGCTAGTAATCGCCCTGACGATCCCACGACGAATTCTATTTGTGACTATGCGTGGACGACCAGCAGTGGGCATTGAAGGACGCACATCCTCGCGACTAGACTCTGAAATCACCTTGAGTCCAAGATCATGTACTGTGTTTTTCCCCACGCCAAGCTCCTTCGCAATTCGCCTCGTGCCATACCCCCTACGCAACAGAGTTATGATCCGTGCACGACGCGCCTCATCTATCGGTCTCATCTCGGCCTAGTCGAAGCGTCGGGTATAAACTCTTTCCTGACTATTCGAAAGTCGCGGGAGAAACTATGGAGAGAATGCGGTACTCGAAAAAGGATCTAGTCCGCTGCTTGGCCGAAAGTGTCCGGATGCACCCACGCGACTCAAATCTTGTCCACGCTATTAGTGCGACCCCTTCAAATCGCTAAGGTGTTACCCCAATGCAACTTGCACTCGTTACTTACAACACAGCTTTGAAGATTCAGCGATACCTCGGTTAAAAGCATTCAAATCATTATTTGAA